CCCCAAAACCCCAAAACCCCAAAACCCCGAATGTCAATAATTAAAACAAAAATTAAGAATAAAATATTTAACGTAATCAATAGTTTAAATTATGGAAAAATTAGTATATTCATCATTTCACTCAGTATAAAATTAGCCACTCCAGTTTTCAGGTAATAAGCAGCAGAGTGTGTAGTAGCCTTCAGTAATGAGCTCCTAAAACTAGTTAGTCCAAGGAGGCACCATCCAATAGCAACAAATATTGCAGCACAGGCATCGCTCATATGTAAAAAGTTAGGAGCGTCTTGTCAATATACTTGAAGACAATGCCCTTGTCATTCTCAAAAAAGAAAAACAAAGGGTAAGATTACAGTGTTGCTAAAGTTTTGCTTTAGTTAGAGAAGCAAGTTAACAATCGCAAGCTTAAGATAGAATAGCAACAAGAAAATATATAGAAGGCAGAATCTGAACTGAGAATGATTCAACAGTAGATAGGTAATCAATTGAATTAAATTTAAGATTGTTTTTCTCATTTAACTTTAGAGTTCTTCAAATATGAATGTGATAGAGCCCTCGAAAACATTAAAGACTCTTATAGAAGATTAACAGAAGAATCAGTATCCGAATTATCTAGGATTAAAAATCCACCATAGATCTTGCAAGAGGTAGCTTTTAAATTTTAAATGATGCTAACATCCTAAGATCAGTAAAATCAGGCACCATAATAATAATAGACTTGGCAAGGCTTTCAGGACTTCACTCGAAATTACTCTAAAGTCAAAGATTGCATGTATAACTTTGTGCCTGAAGACCTGAAGGAGCATACTTTGTCTTAGATCATGCCCATCTGGAAATAGCATAATTCCCTTTCATAAAAACTGATAAAACTGAGTTCCAAAGGAAGCGCCAAGATAGTCCTCGATTTTATTTGCTTTAGTGTGGAGTACAAACTTAAAAAAGACATATTCAATCAATCGAGTGACGTTACTTTGCCCGAAGTATAGAGTAGATTAAATTCATATCAAGATTCCAAGGATAAAGATTTAAAGTAAAACTAGGATGATGATGCTAATATTGAGAATGTTGAGAGATATATAAAGGAGATAGAGTAAAACAGTCAAATCAAAGAGAGGGTTAAAGAGCTATCTAAGGAAGCTGTGAGGAAGTTTAACATGCAAGATCACTATGAAGTGCTGATTGATTCAACGGTTGAAAAAGACTAGCCTAAGACCATCTTGAGGTATAAAAGAGAAGGAAAGAGGAGTTTTCAAAACACCACTAATGGAATGCCTCAGGTGTCTGAGAGTGTAAATAGCCATTACCTGGATGTAAAAGACAGCTTTTAGAGTTTCAATAATCCTTAGTCTGCTTTTGTTGGAAACATAAATTAATTAAGCCACAATACCCAGAGCAGAATTCTTTTCAATGCTATTCAGGCTCATGATTTGAGCAATATGTCAGCCAGTTTAACCAATCAGCTGAGTGATAGACAATTCAATCAGTTTCATAACCTGGGGGAAATTGGTGGTACCTTTGATATGAACAATCCCTTACATACTACCCTCTCTCCTTAAAACAATATTCTTTAGGGCTCTGCTTAGAATCTAAGACCTAATAATAATTCAATAACATTCCTCAGTCGCTAAAGTATTCAGCCTTTTCAAGCTAATGCTAATAACATCAAGGTAACTGCCAAGTAAGTCACTGTATTAGGCGATATTAAAGAAAAGCGAATTTAGAGTGCAAGTAAGTATTCGAATCATCAGGCTGTTACTAAAGCCTAGCATTAGCTTTTATCATCTACTCATAGCAGAGATATGATGCTACTGCAAGGAGGAATCAATGTAGGAACTCCTTCCTCCTCTGCACTAGTATCATCTAGGACTAACTAGACAAAGAGTGTGCAAGATCTTCACGCTATCTATAGGAATTCAAATAATGCTGGTAGTAGTGGTATTCCAAATCTGATAATTTCTCAGAATACTAACAGCAATAAAGATTTCATCAATTAGTTTACAATAGATCCAACGTCACTTCCCTATCAGTCAGCTCACAAACCTAACCCTTAAAGTTTTCACTAGGCACAAGACTATGTCACAAACTCCAGTCAAAACATGATTTAAAGATCCAAACTTCAAACTCCCGACCCAATGAGAGGAACGTTTCTATCTACAACCACCGGCAACAAATTTTCAGCAAACAGAAAAGAATTCGAATTCTCAGATCAGTAATAGTTTTAACAGTCTTCTCATAGAGATAAGAAATCCAATCTTCTGATAAGGGGTGGAGCACATTCTTAGTCTCAATATGTAAGCCTATATCCTTAATATTTCTAAAGAGTTTGTTACCGATTAAGAAGCCAGTTAACGAGCAAGCCAAAGTGAAGAAGCTAAGATTGAAGTCTTAAGACCACAATTAGCAATAGCAGCAATAATAGCAGTATCAGTCCCAATACAATAGACACTCAATGAATCAGTACAGAAGGAAGGAATCTTCTAGCTTGGATCAGGATGAAATAATAAATAGCAGCAGTAACTTAAATGAAGATGATGTCGATGAGCATGATGCTAGTCATTATAGAAATTTAGAGTAAGTTGATAGTATGGTCTTATTGATGACTAATAGAATGATATAAGAAGAGATGCGAGATTATAATACGCAAGAGAAGTCTCATAGTGCTTTTGAAATGATGACATCATGCAGAACAAGACTGAAAAAGTTCTTCTGCTATTATTGAAATATAAACTATATCAATTATGATTGCTTATGAATCAAACTTGATCTGATTTGGAGGGGTTTTGGGGTTTTGGGGTTTTGGGG